AAACATATAAAATAATTGAGTCAGATGCAATTATTTTTGAGGATTTTGACAATTGAGTCAACAGCAAAATAATTTATACCACATGTATATTAATTCTGTGAGGGGTTTTTCAAGTCCTCTCTTATACTTAGTTTTGTTAAGGCTGAAGCATAATAATTTGGTCCAAGTATCCTTCTCTTTCTCTAAAAAATAAACCCAATTTCATCTGTTAGCATACATATTCATCTACTCAAACTATACCAAAGTTTCTGTTGTAGCAATGGGCATTCACACTAACAACTACTTTGAAACTCTTCCAAATTCCTTTATGGTCACAGTTTCACCTTCAAATGTCAAACATTTACATAGTAGTTAGAACAAATAGTTGTTAAACAATTAGAGGTTTAGCAATTTGATGATTAACAATTATTGTTCTGTTTATTTAGATTTTTTTCTCTTGCTTATATATATGCTAGTTACAAAAAATTATATCAAATATATCAATTATCTAAACTATCGCTGCTATATCTAATTTCTCAACTATCTGAAATAAAATAAAAAAATTAAAGAAAAGAAATATATTACAGATATCTCATTTTTCTCAAATTTGTCATTTTTGGGATCATCATTGCATACATTCATATGACCATACAATTTCTCTTTTACAATTCCATACCCTTAAATATCATATGTCTTGAAATATTTGTATTAAATATTCTTAAAAATTAATCTCCAGAAAAATTGCAAGTGATATTAATATACCTAAATTAGATCCATGTTTGTTATACAATCAAAAACTTTTTTTATATGAAATAAAAAAACCAATTACTTTACTTATCTATGGCCACTTATATTATCATGATTGTATCGAAAGTTCTATTAAAATTAATCCAAAATGCCTGAAATCTGATTATATAAAGAAAATAGAATCTGTGATCAAAATGCCTAAAAGTTAGGATATCGATTTAATAGAAATGTTACCTATGATATTTAAAAGCCTTCTGTTTATTCAGAGTGATATATTAAAAAAATATATTAATATTCCCAAATTATTTTTAGATAAACCATTTAACAAAAAAGCAAAGTAGATAAAAAAAGAATCATTTACATTAAAGAAACTTATAGAAGAATTATCTATCAAACCTAGTACTCTGCAAGTTTTTATAATTAAAAAAGAAAATATAAATAATTTTATTAATTTGTATAATAATATAACCCATACAGAAACTGAAAATAAAATTATAAATCAGAAAATTATAACCAGCTATTATTTTTTTAATAAAGTAATTAAGGATAAGTATAATTATTATAAAAAAAATAATTCTAAATATATAGCTCAAGTATTAGTTAATAAAGAAGTTAGATTACAACTTTCAAACTCTATTAGTAATGACTTACTTCGAAAGAAAAAAGAAAAAGTATAAAAAATTTATAAATTATTTATCGAAATTGGAATTAATAAGATTCAGTATGTTAAATCAATTACAATTTTATTAATTTTGAAATTAAATCAAGATGAAATTGATACTATATTAACCTATCTTTTACAAAAATAATTTTATTACTGTGTCTTGTATCACATGATGTTGTGACCTCAGATTATATTCTATATAATAAATTTTCTACATAAATAAATTATATATCGAATTGTTTTTATATTAATAATGGATAAATAACTCTTATCCAAATATGTTGTTTGTTTTATTTGATACTGGGTCTTAGCCTTATAAGGTTTGTTTGTAAACAGATCACAAACATAAGTGCCACACACTATAAATTTGTATGTATAATAAATTTTAGCCACGTATATATTATTTTTTCTGTTAACATATAACAATTAAAGATCAAAATAATATACATGTAAAGAAAAACAAATTTACTTTGAAAAGTGACATATATTTAGAGATTGGAAACACGGGTTTGAAGTTTGTGACGAATGCAATCACCATTCATATCTATATTGCAAAACATACAAAAAGTAACGGATAGAATATATAGATAATGTGAATGTAAAAGTTCTCAAATAATTAATGTTTAATATACATAATATTCAATAAATTTTGCATATGAAATTTATCTGTACATATCACTAGGCTTATCATTATGCATAACTTATTTGTTAGATAAAAGTACTGTTATTTTTTATTTGAGAACTTTTTTATTTTTATTTTTTATATCAATTTTATATATAAGAACCTGTTTGATGAAAGCTTTTAGTATTAAATCCCATTTCAAAAGGTTAGAAATTGAAAAATGTAACAAATTGAAAAGTGATTACTGGTGTTGTATCTGAAAATCTTAAGATAGAAATTTTTTGATTTGTTACTAAATCTCATATCTTATATAGCATATTCATAATTTTATGTATAATTTAGTTAATTCGAATTTGGTCAATTAAGTAAAACCCTACTCTATTTGATGAAAGCATTTGGTAATAACGTTTAGATTGACAAGTTCGAAGAGCAGTTCTAATTCCCTATTCTATTGATTTCTTATTTTGTTTGCATATATACCTTGTGTGTAAATTTCACTGTTTTGTATTTCCTGTGTCTCTGCAATATATCTAGTAAAGAATTTTTTATTTTTTTAAAAAAATAACAAATTTGCATAAGAACTAACAAAAAGTCTTCCTTGAGTGATTTTACCATATAGTCTCCTAACCTCTAACCATAATATAAACTAATTCTAACAGTCGGCCGACATGTCACACGAAATTGATCTACTATAAATTTTTAAAATTATATTATTATAATTAACAAATGTTTTTATACAAAAATTGGATCAATTCGTTAGTAAATATATATTTTTTTTTAAAAAAAAAAATTGTTTTACACCTTCTATATTATAAAATTATAGTTTATTTGTTTTTTTTTGAACAACATTTTGTTAAATAAGTGATATTTCAAAAGTAGTAACAAATTTTACTTCTTTTTCGGAATTATTTTCAAATATATGGATTGAGCAAATAAAAATTGGCTAAGAAGGTTATGATGGCTAAGAACTTTAAGAAGATATATATTTTATCAGGGTTACTTTAAAAATTCAAAAAAAAAAAAAACTTATAAAGAAAATTGTATATAAAGAGGTAAGATTTACAAATATAACTGAGCTTTATTCTTTTTAATAATAATAACTTATTTTTAATTTATACTGATCTTTTATTAATTCAAAAAATAATGATTGAGAGGTCATATTTTATTTAATGTTTTATTATATTAATTACAAAAATAAAGTCGAACAAATAATATGTATATATAAAAAAAAAAATAAAATAATTTTAACATTAAAATTATAAAAATCTGGTCCAAACGAATTACTCAATGTCACAAGAACAAAAATAAAAAAAATTCAAAAAATTTTCACGCAAATACCTCTTTTAAAGATTTTTCGCTAAACCTAAAGAAATTAATTGATTGATAAATACTAGTACTTGAATTATATCATAAGGTGTTGACTGGTAGACCTTCATAATTTATACCCTATATGATTAATATATATACATACAGTCAACTCTGGATATAATGAACCTTTTTATAATAAACCTGGATATAACAAACATAAATTTTCTAAATTTTAATATTAGTTTGGTATAACAAGAACTATGGCTTTTAAAAAACATAGTAATTTTATATAACGAATTTTTTTTTTGGTCAGAACCAAGGGTTCAATATAAAAAGAATTAACTGTACAATGTTTCAAAAGCCTTGAAGATTAGCAGATCTAAAGTGAAATATATTTGGGTACAGTATTTCTCTTTGTAAATATTCAGGAATACTTTAAAACCAACAAAAGTTCAAAAACTTGTTGCTTCATATACTTACGGCATTGATTCTTTACAATAAGACAGTAATGAATGTGTTCAGAAACCTTATCAATGATCTGTAAAAGGTGCAACAGAATATAAAAAGTATTAGTATAATTCGTATTCAATCACCAACTTCAAGCTTAAGATTATTTTCAACTTTGTTTTTAACTATAGACAAAATTTATATGGCCATTCACATAAAACTACAGAAATGTTATATTTAAAAAAGAACCATGTACAACATTTCAGTAGCCCACAAATCCAAAAAAAATCACATATTTTATGAATTTTTACTAGTAAATTTGATATGCAAATCAATTTTTTTTTATAAGTGTGCAAATGTATAATGATCATCTGTGACATGTCGGCCGACTGCTAACATAAACGAATTTTTTTTAAAAAATTTTCGCACATCACGTGACAGCAACATTTTGGGAATTAGATCATGTGCGTGTGCTACAATCGATCTTATTTACGCACAAACGCGTCCACAATATGTTAACAGGTGGATTACCGGAAGAAACTCTAAAGAAAGTGCAATATCGGGGTAAGTATTAATTGTTCTTCACTATATTAAATGATAATAAATATTCTAACCTGCAACCGTATATCAGAATATTGGGAGGAACCACATTCCAAGTGGGGAAATATAGATACGTGGGATCACTATTTCATCGAAAAAGATACCAGATGCAACGAGCACAAGTCACATAATGCTCTAGGCGCTGAATTAAAAGTTTTGATTCAGAACTTAAGACCAGAAACAAGAGCAGGCAGAAAGGCATTAGCGATGCAACGTGATTTGAGGGTCAGTATTTTTACGAAACGGCAAATGTGCTACATCCTGTGCTGCTGGTATGGGGAAGAAGAGCGCTCAGTCTTATGTACACCATGACATGCGTACTTTGCTGTGTGCTACGCCCTACGCTGCTGGCTTATGGAAGAAGAGTGTCTGGTCTTTACATCACTGCAGCGTGCATATTTTGCTTTTCATGGGAGTCGTACCCTGCGACCGCTGGTCGAGTTGAGGTCAATTTTGGGCCGAGATGGGAAGCGAGTCACAATCTAGTATATACTCATTGTGACTTGTGCTGTTCCCCGTTGGCTTAGCAAATTTTTTTGCTAATCTTTTTTTACTATTTATTACGTTTATTAATATTACAGAAAAATGGGAAACACCTTGAAGATCCACCTGCTTACGATACGATACAATCACACAACATCGAAGACGAGGTGTCTAATTCACAAACACATCCAACCGTTGAGGAACCAATATTTGATACACATATTGCCACATTACTCCTACAATATAGAAGAGTTCTTGAAGAAATGAGGAATCATTACGTAGAACAAGAATCACAACGAGGCCGACACTTATCTAATATGCTTAAGTGGTCTGTTGTGGACCATTCTCTGTTTAATGGATTCAAGTTTGTTGTCAGCTTACTAAGACCAGCTATTAACATGTCATTATTGGAACCTATCCTTATGGAGAGCCGGAATAAACCAATTCATCACGTAGTCACGATTTTACGCAATTTGATTACTAAAGAAATTGTAGATGATATAAGCCCTGGCTTTAAAAAGATGGCTAGAAAGATTATGGAAAGTTCGTATAAAGGAATACTACATAATTGATACAATAATGGCATTAACCGCTATCACTTCAGTTATTTTTTACTCACCTACACCCTGCCGAGGTCCAGGGAGTAAACCATCAGAAAACCATATAAAATCACAAATGTGGGCCAAAATCTTTTCGGATACATTTCTCATTGATTCAGACGATATTGATGTGAATTGGGAATATCATCACCAAATCCCGGGTAACGGTGGAAGCGGATCTTCTAGATCTGATATTGCTACTGTTGTTTTCAATGACACCGATCAACAGTTTCCCTTTTTTATAGCTGAATTTGAGACTGACGGATTTTCAGTACATAAGGATGAAATGGTCGTGGCGGCAGAAGCTACATTCGAATATAATCGTATTCTTACAGCTGCCTACTATTTATCGGAAGATGAAGTAAATTCATCTCGCCTGCATATTGGCCTTATAAATGGGACAACCATTCATCTGGGTTCGATGAAGCCGATCTATGACGAAGAAAAAAAATCTTTGATTTATGCCTACGAAGTAAACAATTTACTATAAGAGCTGAAATCAAATGGAATCAAATATAGAATCATTAGAATTCTTATGATTAGGTGAAGCCAATAATGCATTACTAGCTACATTGAATGATGAACATAAAAAATTATATCAATTAATTAAAAATTATAACTTGAAAGATGTTTTCAATTGTAATGAAACTAGTAATATTGGTTTATTAAATAATTTGAATATTCCTAAATTAAAGTTAAATTATTTAATATTTAGGATTATATTGGCAACTTGAACCAAAGAAAACTCTTTCTTCAAGTGCAATATCAGAAACAAAACAATTTAAAAACCGAATAACAATTTTATTAACTTGTAATGCAACTGGAATGGAAAAATTATAACCATTATTTATTTATAAATATCAAAACTTCTAGGCTCTATATGGATATAACAAGTCAATATTATCAATACAATATTATTGGAACTGTATTGCTTGGATATAAGTTTCTATTTATTTATTTTTATTTTATTTTTAAACACCAGCTGGGTCTTGCTTTATTAATTTTTAAATACTTTATACATATCACATTTTTGTGTATTGTATATAGTTTACTATATGTAAATAAAGCTATATCTAAGA